TTTTCTATTGAACAGTATTTTCATTTAGTTTTGTTTCTTCTCTCTGTCATATATTTTAACTTTTGTTCATATCTCGTTTCAGATTTTGATTAAAGACTTATCTTTTTGTTACCGTATTTTCTATTGCATGTTGCCGGACTATTGACAGTAAGGTCATGTATGACTAAGCTCAAGGTCACGGCGTGATTCAGTGTGTGACTGTTAATCTTTTGACTGTTTGCTTAGGAGGATTTTTGGAATCCCTGGAGATAAATATTTGATCCCGTTTGTTGGGAATATATTTGTTGATTCTCAACGCGTTACTTTGAGTTAGAGAAACTTCTGACTATATAGCACAGGCTGTACCGTTTGAGAACTGTACAGACCGAACTGCCAGTATTCGGTTTGAACGCAGGACTGACGAACCAAAATGTATTCGAATAGACCAGACTATACTTTTCTGTATAGACCACTAAGCGTTTTTGAGACACTCGTATTAAATTATATCAAAAACACAAACTCTGTACTCAATTTATACGAGTGTCTAAAACAACGCATAGTGATCTATACAGAAGAGTGTAGTCTGGCCTATTCAAATACATTTTGGTTCGTCAATCCTGTGTTCAAACCGAATACTGGCAGTTCGATCGTTACAATAACAGTTGAACTTTTGGAAGTCCTTTGTATTTAACCCTTCACAAAAGCTTAACAGTAGATGTATCAGTGACAAATCTAACCTTCCATTTGAAAACATTCTAAATGATTTAAAGTACTTAATAATAAATTTCTATAAGTATTTAGTTACTAAAATGTTTGAAATTAAAAATTAGAGGGAGGTAATCAGATAAACCAAAGTTGAATAATGAGAAATGGCAACATTTCTGAAATGAGCTCTTATAAAAATTGCCAAAAAAAAATAAAAAAATAGAATGATTTAGACAACATCAAATGAATTTAAAAGTTTACCCTATTGCACAAGCAAGTGACTATGAAGACTCAGTAGCTAAGTGGATAACGCGATAGCGTTTGAAGTGAATGGTACTGGGTTCGAGTTTCAGAGTGAACATCAACTTTGAGATGAAAGTACATTCAGCTGACGAATCCAAAATAGAATGAAACACGTATCGTGGATTCTATTGCTAGCCACTATCTATCTTTGCTTATAACAATAGTTTGTCTATGTAAATGCCGAAGGGGTTAATTTATCAAAGAAATAATTATAACTTTAACTATGAATACAGACAACAATTTCGTTATAGATAGTGAAAATTAGTAGGAGTGAGAGTGAGAGTGAGAGAGACAGAGAGAGGGGAAGAACATAGAAGGGAAGAAGTACAATATATATGAAATGAAGTATGTCTAATGTACAATGTGTAACAAAAGGAAGGTCACAGTTCTGTGTTATTTCTTTTCTGATAGGCTTTGTACATTTCTAATCTTTCTCTTGAACTGGTCAGTTTGAAAGTGCCGATATCTGTAATTCAATCTAGTTTACTTATTGTATCAAATATATATCATTATGAAAATGCTTTAAACACTTAGGAAAATAGAACAAGTTTTCTGTACAAACCACTTTATGCATCTTCTTTTCATCTTAGACCTAATCCAACACATTACATGTCAGCTTGATACATCTTACATAGCTTAATCCAAAGTATCATATATGACATAATGTTTACATAACAGTATACCATAAAACTTCAACATGAATAGTAGTACAATTAGTTATAAACAAAATCACTTCATGAAAAGTGTTAATTATAGAAAAAATAAAAAATGATGTTTTCACTGGATGAAATCATGAGTCAATTGAAGCTAGACCACTGGACGGCCGTTTCGTCCCACTATGGGACTCTTCAGCAGTGCGACCTCGACCCCTGCGAGATTCGAACTCAGGACTTACTGATTTCGCGCGCAAGCAAATAACCACTAGACCACTGAGCTGGATGTCATCCAACGCTGTTAATTTTTAACTTCAACTAATCCACGAAATTGAATGACACATCCACCATTGTCTTCAATGAGTCCAGTGCTTCCAGGTTTTTCATGGTGGTCTAACTTCAACTGACTCATGATCATAACCATTGAAATAAACATTAATTTCATATTTACTATGTAACAAACAAAATCTTTCTTACATACTTACTTTACTTAGTTGCTTAGTTTGTTACCTACTTACTTACTTTACTTTACTTACTTGGTTATTTTCAGCAATGTAATAAATAGATGTATCTTTCGTAAGACGTTAAACTAACCTTGAGAATGTTCACTTCATAACTGAAACCAAATGATGGTTATAAACCAGTATGTGAGCGATTAGAATTATGATTTATAGTTGATGATTCAAGTTAGAAATTAGATTTTGGAGTTCTCATCACGAACTGACATCAGTTATAATGTCAAAACTCTATTCAGCCAAATGGGTGAGTGAATTTGGTGCCAAAATCCAAGACTTGTTATCTTATATCTGATTGGTTTCGTCCATAAATTATACTCTCGCCAAGAATTGAGACAACTAGTATGGATAACCAATATTTTATCTAAGGATCTCGTTTTTCTGAAGTATTCTGAAATTCCTTAATGTTTCTGTCCATCTATGGCAATTCAATAATTATGCACTCCTGTTTTGTTTTCTGAATAATGTATATCATTGTGATTGTCATAGACATTTATCATAGACTGATAAAAACCTCATACTGATAATTACCATGTGCTCACTTGTGATTAGCTTAATGAGGAGCCGAGACCAGTGGAACTAGTCTGTGTTGGGTAGAGACAGGTATCTACTTCGGTACAATGGAAGATGGTCGAGCAATTCCGTGGATTGCTTGAAGTTAGACATCTATATTTCTGACTTACGTTATATACTACTCATATTGATAAAAGTAGCACACCGCACTATGATATAATTAAATTATGTTTTAAGTTAAACAGTTTAACACATCAGTTGATATTGTGTGACTGACGGTGATGGGCATAGGTGTATCGGTAGTTGAAGCTTGTTGTCAAGATTTGTTCGCGTTTTTCTAAGAGGAAATGACATATCACATATTGTGATCACTTGACAAATCTGAATATTGAAATCATGAATCAATGGATGTTAAACAACCAAGTAGTGTTAATAGACTACACTGAAGAAACTCTCATTATTACAGAAAATCTTAGTATTCATATCAGTTTTCAGTTAAACTTACACACATACATACATACATAAACACATACAAACAAACATACATACATACTTACTTACTTACTTAGTTGGTTAGTTACTTTACTTAGTTCGTTACGCCTGTTACTCCCAATAGAGCATAGACTGCCGACCAACATTCTCATACCCAATCTGTCCTAAACGTTCCTTTCTAGTTCTATCCAATTCTTGTTCATTCTTCTCATATCTCTCTCCATTTCTCGGTGTAATGTGTTTTTTCGTCTTTCTCTTCTCCGTTAGTCCAAAGTGAAGGCTTGTCTTGTGACGTAGTTGAGTGCTTTCCTCAATGTGTTTCCTATCCACTATCAGTGTTTCTTCCTGATTTCTTCCTTTGTTGGGATCTGATTTGTTCTCTCCCACAGATAGTGTCTGGCTAGTACGTGTAATATTATTTCATGACGGAAATTGCAAACATAGAATAGGATGAAACAGTAATGATATGGTGTTCAAAAGCTGATAAGTTTGAGTAATAATTGTAGAATAGTTCACAAATGTCTACTATCATTTGATGATAGATATAGAACACAGATATAGTGCAGTAGTAATCATCTGGAATATGAACTATGATAAGAGAGATTATTAATTTTGGCGTTTTGAAGGTTGTTAAGTTTCAACTAAACAATCACTAAATCCATGAAAGCACTGAATGATCTTTTTGTTCTATTGAAGAATTCCTTGAAGAGGTGAAAATTTTTAAATGAATCAATCAGATATCAGACAATAGGGATTGGATTTTGACGCGTAATTCATTCATTCAATGTAGATAAATAGCGTCTTACCATTTCAACTGATGTCTGCTCGTAATGAAAATCCTAAATCTAGTTCCTAACCATAACCATCAATAGTAAATCATAATTATAAATCTTCACATGGCTTTATAACCATTATATGATCTTAATATGTGGATTTTCTCAAGGTTAGTTTCGAGTCACTCGAAGGTTATCCATAAATTATAGTCTCACCGACTTTTCAATAGTAACTATCCAAAACGTTTCACCGAGGATAGATTATGCAGTAAATTTAGAGTAACATGTATTAAACCGGAATAGTTTAAACAGTTGACATACGTTTAAGAATCGAGGATATAAGAACTGTAAATGAACAATAGAAATTCTAAAACCAGTTAGATAACATTTGATACAGTGAAGATAACATAACAACCTACAACGATTATTTAATAATAATGATAATAATACTAACAAGCTATTGTCTATTTGGACAAAGTAGCTAAGTAGAAATCGAAGTGAAGTTTGAAGTGAATGGTACTGGATTAAAATTCTATAGTGAATATCCATTCTGAGATGAAGGTACATTCAGCTGACGAATCCAAAATAGGACGAAACGCTCAACCAGGATTCTATAGCTAGCCATCATGTATCTTTGCTTGAAATACTTACATCTGGTAAAGATTTTCTAATCAAAACTATGAATGTATCAAAGAAGTGGTAGTTTGACAATCGTCTCTTTTTAAAACCATTACACTCTATAGCAGCTAACCTATACTTAAGTAGGTTTAAGGTTAATTTTGTAAAACCCTTCAATGAACTTAATTAACTGACAGTATTATTCGAACAGTGAGAACATCTATGCTTCTATGTATTATTATTATTATTATTTTCATGTTTGGATAAAAATGTATTCTTAGTCACATGTGACAATTTACGCGCATAGCCTTTCCTCTACCTTAAACGTTAGTTCATTTAATCGCTCAATGAATCATTTGCTTTCCCTTATATATATGTACTAACATAAATTGCCATTTCAACATTTCAGTTGATAATATTTACTATTTCATATTATTTTGTGTTTGAATATGAATACGGTAATAAGCAGTCAAAATGAACACACGAAATCATCATCATCATCATCCGAATCATCATCATCATCATCATCATCATCATCATCATCATCATCATCATCATCATCATCATCATCATCATCATCATCATCATCATCATCATCATCATCATCATCATCATCATCATCCCAATCATCATCATCATCATCATCATCATCATCATCATCATCATCATCATCATCATCATCATCATCATCATCATCATCATCATCATCATCATCATCATCATCATCATCATCATCATCATCATCATCATCATCATCATCATCATCATCATCATCATCATCATCATCATCATCATCATCAGATTTTCCATGGTGGTCTAGGTTCTGTTGATTCATGAATTCAACTATAAACATTAAAATTTCTAAAAAGGAACTAATTGTAAAAAATCTTTATGTTTTTCATATCCATTAAGTGTTATCATGATAAAACTTGTTGTTAATTTCATGTTTATTATGTTAGTGGTTGATTAGAACAACAGACTTTTGTTATATCATTTATCAAATATTAAGTTTAATGTCTCATTATTAGATCATAAGTCTTGAAATTTTTATTTATAACATGTGATCATACTCATATACAATGTGTGTAGATAGAGGAATTAGAAATAACAATTTGATTTGATTGAAACAATAAAGGATAACAAGTAAATCAGTCTACATATTGAGGGTTTCCATGTAAAATCTAAGTCTGACAGTCAGTGGTGAAGTCGTAGATATGTACTGCTGAGAAGTCCTTTACTAGGGTGAAAAAGCTCACTGCTTCCTGGTTTCCAATAGTAACCTATCTAAAATCCGTTTATGATTCAAACTACGGAAATCCTACAATTTCTGCAAAGTTCTCTATACTACTTGTGACTAACATCGAGTAAGAAATCGTGATTAGCGGAGTTCGATCAGATTGGGTGTGTGACAGTTACCTAAGAAAGTCATTGCAAGATTAGATAGTGGTTGGAGGTGGTCGACAGGAAACCCTGGACCCGGGTTTCGCGCTACTTGGCACTCGTCAGCATGGTGTACCTGTAATCTTTGAGGGAACTGGTGCTCCCTGGCGGATTCGATCCCGTGTCACTCAGCTTCACAGTCAGAGACGTTACCACTGAGCTATCCGGGCCGCGACCGACCTCCTGTAGGACTGAGATGTAATCACAATTGATTAATCACTGGGTGACCAATGTCGTGCGTGTCTAGTCTTTATTATTAGTGCAGATCGAATGCTATCGATCATGTTGTAATGTGGCCACCAGTCTAGGTGACTCAACAGCGCGAGCACTATTGTAAGGTTTAGATGGTGGTTGGAGGTGGTCGATCTGCACTAATAATAAGGACTAGACACGCATGACATTGGTCACCCACTGATCAATCAATTGTGAAAGTCATTGCAATATGGTTGAAAAAGTATTTCAAGTTGATTGAAGTTAGACATTCACATCATCAGATTCCAACTCAGTAGTCTAGAGATTAAGCTACCACCTATGGGATTGACGTTTCTTAGTTCGACCACGATTGGTTCATGGATGTTTATTGGTATTATGTCTCCAACTTAGATGAAACAATTGTTAAATGTTCACTGGTTTTCAAAGGGTTAGTCCACGATGTAAAATATAAAACTAAACATTTGGCACAAATCTCTTGCTTAATTGAAACTAAATTATTGAAACAAACTCTCTAAGCAATGGGATATGTCATAAAACAAAACTTACTTTTCAGCAATTACTGTATATACAAGAATCAAATAACATTTATCACAAAATTCGTAACATCTCAATGAGGAAATAATTGATTTTGTGATGTTCAGTTATCTAGAATTAGGATCGTCGACTCTCATTTCATCCTATTAAGGTCTCATCAACCGGATATTGATATTTACACCTAGATAAGTTTAAGTGAAAATAAATTAATGATTAAATATACATGTACTTTGTCCTATCTATCCCAAGTTCAAGTAAATGAGGAGAACTTGGTGTGAGGTCAGTAATCTCATCCCGTAGAAAACAATCTTACTAAAAATATGCTAACCAGAATGAACAACTTAAACCACTTAAAGTCTGCCCTCGGAGTTGAACGATTTTCTTTCAGAAGAATTATGGCACCTAATGGTGAAAGCCAAGATTCTTAGGAAGTCACGAGGTTGATGCCCATCTTAACAATCAGAGTTACAATTAATATAGGTAAATGGGATATTCGGACGGTGTGCGAAACCGGGAGGACCAGTCAAATAGTTACGGAAATAAGAAGATACAACTTAGCAATGCCTTGAATAAGTGAAACACATTGAATCCAAGCTAGGAAGAAAAGATTAGATTCGGGAGAGATGTTATTGTACACTGGTCATGAAGAAAGAAATTCTCCGCACATGCAAGAAGTTTTTCTGATGCTATCCTAAGAAGCATGAAAAGCTTATATAGGATGGAATCAAATGGATTACGAGTCACCAAGAGGGACTACAATGAATGTTATCCAGTGTTATGCATCCATTAATGGTGGAAGTGAAGATGATAAAGATCAGTTTTTCGAGAAGCTGCAGTCGATTACAGTGAAGCACTCAGGAAAGAATTTTAACATCCTGATGGGAAATCTAAACTTTGATGTCTGAATGGACAGCATCTGATATGAAGATATCATGGACGACATGAATTGGGAAGAAGAAACAAAAATGGTGACAGATCTGCAAATTCATGTTCATTTAAAAATGTTTATAGGTGGCACAACATTGCCCTATAAACACATACACAAAGCTACATGGGTATCACCAGAGCTGACATAGCTTTAGATCACCACGTGGTTGTGGTCATGATGAAACTGAAACTAAGAAAGCACTGCACAACTAATGAAACAACATTACACATGTCCAATAGAGCCTTCCTTAGAGGTACTGACAAACTCAACGAATTCAAGATAACTCTCAACATACGTTATAGGACTGATAAGATCTACTAGAAGAAGCGGAAACTAGCAATGACAACGGTAAAACTGTCAAGGGAAGAAAATATGAAATAAAAATATGATACGACGAAGAAAATATCAGGGAAGTATAGTAAACCATAGAGACCGGTAAAGGACAAAGAATACAAGACAGTCAATAAGGTTTAGAAGAGGGAAACAGGTGGACAGAACATTTAGAGAAACTCTCAAATTGGTTTGCTCGACTAAACCCGCCTAACGTCAAAGCAGCACATGAAGGCATTCCTTTAGATGTCACTGGATCAAACAAATCACGATGGCTGTCAGAAGAATCAAGAGTGGGAATGCAGTAGGAGCTGACAATTTACCAGCTGAAGCTGAAGTCGGACATAGGAGCAACTGTAAACATGTTTCACGTTCCATTCAGGTAGATTTCGGAGGGAGAACAAGCGCTGATAGACTGGAAGGAGGACACCCCATCAATATGTCAAAGAAAGGAAATCTGAGCAAATGTGAGAATTGCACAGACAGCACACTACGGTCAGTACCAGCAAAGGTTTTCAACAGAGTGTTGCTGAACCGGATGTAAGACATAGTGGACACTCAGCTTCGAGATCAACAGATTGAATTTCTTTATGATGGCTCGTGCACAAAACAAATCACGACATCACCGATCACCGTTGATGGAATTCATCACACTAGATAGAGAAGCTATACAACAGTTGGAAACTTTCACGTATATGGCTAGCGTCATCGATCAACAAGGACGATTCCATGAAGAGTTGAAGGCATGGATTGCAAAAGTAAGGACTGCATTTCTACAGTTGAACAACATATGGGACTTAAGACAACTATCAACCAGTTAACACCAATGTCACAATCTTCAATACGAACTTTAACACAGTTCTACTTTATTCAACTGAAATTTCAACAACTACCACAACCATCATCAAAAATGTACAAGTATTTACAAACAATTATCTTCTCAAGATCGAATACCACCACCAACATTCTACTGTGAGAGAAAACAAAACAACTTACAGATGAAGAGGAAATTAATAAAGGCCAATGGAATTGGATAGGATATACATTACAGAAATCATCAAACTGTATCACGAGACGAGTGCTAACGTTGAATCGTGAAGGGAAACACAAAAGCGGACTATCCAGGAACATATTTCGCCGAAAGTTGTAAGCAGACATTAAGAGACTGAATGGCCACTGTAACCATGTGGGAAGGATCACAATTAAGCGGCCTATGCTCCTCCATGAGGAGGAACACGCGTTAGTATTTTGAGACATGTTTACATTAATTATCATCTAATATCGCACAGAAATCATTGAATGTTCCTATGATGATGAAATTTCTATGTTCGCTTGAATTTGGCTGTCGACATATGTTTACTTGTTCATAACTCTCTAGTTTTGAAATATACTCTTTTATTTTAAAATTAGAATCGCCCCTAAATGCCCTGGTACGGCCGAGAATGGCGAGAGCAAACTCTCCATCACGAAATGTTCTCAAATGGCCACGTGTATACAGCCACCGACATAGAAACCTTACTCACTGCCTACTCGTACCACGGGTGTTCTTTACAAACGTGACAGGATGAAAAGCGAATGTCTGACGTTTTAACCTGATTGGTGAATACGGAGGATCCCCCAGAAGGAGTTAGGAAACCCTGACTCTAAGTGAATGGTCTACATGAACTCCAGTATCCTGAGAGAACAAATGATATATGAACGAATTGTTGGTCTTGAATTCTCATATATCAGTGACAATTAATAGAGGCTTTAAAAATTCTTCAATTAACAATCTTTATTTCAATCAATTTATCATGAAGTATAAGTTATAAGTCTGATCAATATTTAAGAATCTTTGGAGCATAGACCACTTACGAACATTCTCCATCCAACTCTGTTATGGGCAATTCTTTTCAGCTCTTTCCAGTTCTTATTCATCCTTTTCATATTTGCTTCTATTTCTTGACGTAATGTAATCATTGGTCTTGATCTTTTCCACTTCTCTTTACGATTCCAAGTTGGGGCTTGTCTCGTGATGCAGTTTGATGATTTCCACAATGTATGTCCTATCCATTTCCATCGTCTTTTCCTAATTTCCTCTTCGTCGGGAAGCTGGTTTATCCTCTCCTACAGAAGGCTGTTGTTGATGATATCCGGTAAATGGATGTTGAATATCTTGCGTAGACAACTATTGATAAATAATTGTACCTTCTTGATAATGGTTGTAGTAGTCTTAACACTAACCATAAACTTAATTAATTCAGGTATACATTTATACCTTTATATAATTTTTGCATTTCAATACCATTTTGTGTATTTTCGCAATTTTGTACTTTCCATATTATATAATCCATGTACTTGTTAATAAATGGTCAGTCAGTAACAACATGGAACTTCGTACGTACG